GATCTTGACAAAATCACATAGTGCACCATATTTTGTTGGGTTCTATTAGGAACGTCGACAATGTGCACATTCAAATCTATTGAGTAATAAATCCTAACGCAGCGGAATCTATAGTTAGGATTAGGACTTACGGTTTAAAATTTTTGCCGACTCTGAGACGTTTCTGATTTCCATTGATGGAGATCGTCTGAACACCAAAGTCCAATGGGGAGCTGGACTTGGCCTTTATCGATTCTAATTGAGTCTTCATGGTGCTCCGGTTGCTCGTCGGACTTGTTGGATCGTCTTGGACCTCCGGTAAATTAATCGGACCATTCGGACTGCTCGGGAACCGCCTTGGACACGAACTTATGGACCAAGTTGGACCGGTTTGAAGTGAGCTGGACGCGTCTGGGCCGGTCTGAACCGCGCTGGTAGGTTGCTGCACCGATCTGGAGCTTCTTGGACCAGTTGGAGCGCATCTGGGCTGGGTCCTCGCTCGCTGGGCCGCGCTGGAGCAATTTGGCCCGCGGACCGCTCGCTAATGGGCCATTAGACACGCTGGGAGACTGGCCCAAGAGGGCACGAGCCGTTGCGGGCTTCTCGCAGGCTCCAAGTTGTAAGGCGCGCGGGTTTTTTGCGGGCTAAAATCGGGCTGCGCGGCCCGCGCGATTTCCCTCCTCACACATGCTGGTAAAAATAAAAATGGCTACATGAGGGTTCGAACGCGCGACCTCTCCCACACAATAGCACGCTGAAGACCACTGTGCCACACGTCTTCTTCTATCCTGGGCTTGCGCGAACAATAATAAACTGGACCACTGCGAACTGGTATACGGGCTGCGACTGAAAAATTACAGAAAAATTCCGGCGAGTTGCCGGCGGTTGCCGGTGATCGCGAGGTCGCCAGAAAACATATATACATAAAAAAGCTCGATAAATATTGTACCCTAAAGCCTTCTAATGTATAACCTTTACACCTCCTTCGAATAATCTTGGTGGGCGATTAATCGAAACTCTCGAATTCTCAAAAATATGAAGAACACGATTTTCCTCTCCCTAATAGGACCTTAAAA